TCCCACTGACACAGGACAGGGTTAGATGGGATAGTGGGGAGAAAGGTGCTGAGGCCCTGGCACAGGTTGCCCAGAGAAGCTGTGGCTGCCCCTGGATCCCTGGAAGTGTCCAAGGCCAGGTTGGACAGGGCTTGGAGCAACCTGGGATAGGTTGTGATAGGGGGTGGGACTGGATGAGCTTCAGGTCCCTTCCAACCCAAACCATTCCATGATTCTAAGTCCTGGACCAGTCTTAGCAGGACAAGATTCCCATGCAAAGAATAGTTTGATTTATTGAGGCCTGGTGTCAGAATCCAGTCTGCACTTGGCCAGAGCTTTATGAGACAGCTGACATCACCCACAGCCTTTAGCTTGTCTCTCCCTGGTGCTTTGCTTTTTGTCTCACTTTACACACCTTTAGGATAAGATTTCCCAACTGCAGTAGGAACATACTGACTCCTGTCAATCCCCACTGTAATCAGCTGACTTCTGCCCTCCTGGCACTGCCTTATCAATTAAGTATTCATCAATTAAGTATTCATCAGCAGCCCTTTGAAGTTAAAACACAAGAGGATAGTCATTCACTCTAGTGACTATTCTCTGCCATGCTCACGTTAATGAAAATATTGATTTCCTACCCAAGTTTTGATGACAGTCAAAGTCTCTCTGCTACCCCAGGATTCAGGATGTTGTTCTGCCAGTCTCAGACAGTTCTTTGCTCCATCTCCAGGTGTCATCAGCTTCATTGTTATCCTGGTGGTGGTGGTGATCATCCTGGTCAGTGTGGTCAGCCTGAGGTTCAAGTGTAACCGCTCCAAGGAGGAAGGTATTTGCCCAAGGGGATCTGTCTTTCCCTAATCCACAGGTCACCAGTTTCCATGTTGGATGTGGCAATTCCTAAAAGATGCATTTGAAAAGGTTTTGAAGCTAAACTGGAACACAGATGCAGCAGTCAGGAATGCAGTGTGACCTCCCCTCTAGAGCCCCAGCCCAGCCCCATCTGCACAAGGACAAGTCTCAAGTTTGCTGCAGCTCAGTGGGCAGATTCCCAGATGAGGCAGCTCTTCCAGCAAAAGTCATGGAGTTTGACACTCCTTTTCCCTTGGAATCCCACTTTCCACTAAGCAGTGCCCACCAGAGGGCAAGGCTGCTCTACAATAAGACAGATACCTTCCTGAAGTCCAAAGGGCACTGGTGACTGAACAGGCAGCAAGGCCATCAGGTCCTGCCTGTATGTCCCATTAATTGAAAGATTTGCCCTAATCAACTCTCAGGTTTCCCCCATGGCATCTCTTATCTCATTCAGATTTCCTTTATATCCCTGTACAACATAATTCAGAATAGAGCTGACTTATTCTGTGGCTTAGCTATGATGTTTCTCACCTGTATGTCACCAACTCCAGCTTTTCTCCCTCCAGACAAACAGAAACCAGGAGGCTCCATGATATCAGAGAGGTAAGGCTGCTCATGCTGTCTATGTCCAATTCAAAGTGCCTATTTTATTCCAGAGCTAAAGAATCTGCTTTAATTATATCAGGTGGAAGAAAGCATCTCAAAACATCTTTGAGACATCTCTGAGAGCTGATAGAGACAAAGGTAGATGGTCAATATTTTGGGGCCTCTTTTCAAAGCTGCCCTGAGATCTGCAAAGACTCATCACCTTCCCAAAGCAGTGTGCTTGTCTTTCTTTGCCTAGATACAGACTTGAGGTCTAAACTTGAGTCTCTGAATCTCAAAGCAGTCTCAGGTATCTTCCAAGATGCTTATTATTACTGTTAACCCAGAGAGAGTAGGATAAGGGGGCTCCAGTTCAGAGACCTTTGAAAGAGAAGCATCAAGTGGAGAATAGTCTGTCAGAACCCCATGGTCCATCACTGCTACCCCAGAAGAGAGGCTGAAGGTGGGAAAACAGCAGGAAACAAGAGCTGGACGGGACCACAACATGTTGCTCCCTCTTTTCCATCTGATAGTTTCCTACCAAAGTAATAAACCCTGCTTTGGAAAGGGGCAAGGGACACAAAGCAAAGTATTTAGGTGCCAAATTTGCATCACCAGCAGTGGTTCCCAAATATCCTTAATGATCATGATCCAAGTGATCTGAAGCCACTGAAGCAGAACATGCCAGAGCAAGGGACAGAGCCCTGGGGCACCCTAATCCCCAAAGTCATCCAGTCTCCACTGGCACTAAATGTGTATCCCATTCCTCAGGGTAGGAAGAAAGGGGAATTCCACCTTCCTAAGGCTTGTAACTGACTCTTAAGAGAGACACTGACAATACATGAGCAGCAGCATCAATATCCAGGAACAATATCCAGGGCTGACAAATGACCTTAAGGGCCTCGTATGAGAAGTAAATAACCTGGTTTTATTACAAGCAAATGAACTGAGTGGAAAGGTGAAAGGGGGGAGGGGCTTTTATTAACTGAAGAGGAGTTCCTTTTTCTTTTTTAATTAAAAAAGGCGTGGCACAGAGTAGTAAGATGAATGGTTCTGTCTGAACCTGACACCAGGGAACTTTTGCTGCCGGGAATAGGGAAAAACACAAAAAGTAAAGATGTAACTAAACAAAGACCTTCTCTGCCATGCAGTAGCCTATTGTGTCCAGGGGGATCCCCCTGGACCAGGTCCAGGGCGTAAGTCACAAGAAGGGTAACACCCCCTCCCTGGTCAGAGAAATAATCTTTTAAGGTAAAAACAGCGTTTAATGAACATGTAACAGCTTATGTAACCAAAAGAACTACAAAAGGTGTGGTTTTCAAACTGGTCCTGTGCTTCCAGACCCAAGTGGCTTTGGGACACAGCGTGCTGAAATTAAACCTTCCGTTACCTTCCTTTGTCTCGCAGGTTTTTGCCGTCTTTCCAAATTTGAAAAAGGGATTTTTCCCACACTAGGACAGGGCTCCCAGTAATGCTCTCTTTTGTTCCAGTTCTGGTGAGGGCTGCAGGGCTGGCAGGAAATCCATTCACTGGGAACCAAAACCAAACTGCTCCCCGACTCTGCCTACAAGCAGTGACGCAGGGGACAGTGGTGCTTTCTGTAGGGCACACACAGCTTGTTTGCCCAGAGATCTGGGAATGTGGCACCAAGGATGGGCCTGAATCAGGACAGCAGCTCAACGGGCAATGGAAACCAGTCCTGGTCCTGTGTACCAGGCTCAGCCTTGCCTGTTTGCCTCCAGCTGTGTGCAAACAAACTTTGTCCTTGGAGGTGTCCCGGGAGCGACTGGACATGGCACCCGGTGCTCTGGGCTGGCTGACAAGGTGGGGATCGGGCACAGGTTGGACTCAATGATCTTGGAGGTTTTTCCCAACCTAAATGACTCTGTGATTCTGTGATTCCCTCTCTCGTTCCCCAGAGCAGTTAATACCACCTTCTCTCCCTGACAGCTGCTCAGCAGACACGAGCCAGAAGGACAACAGCATCACTCTGATCTCCATGAAGAACATCAACATGAACAACAGCATGAGTTACCCACCATCAGAAAAGGTGTCTCTTTTCAGCCTTGCTTTTTAGGGCGTTAGCTGGGGATCATTTCTGTGGCTGGATAAGAGTATGCCTTTGAGGTATTTCTTTGCTCTCTTATTCCTTCAGAAATATAACAAAAAAACAGCTGCCATCAAACTCCTTAAGGTTCAAACTGGTTCCAGTGAGCCCGGTGAAAAGTTTGGGTGCCCATCTCAGGTTTACCTGAGCTGCCTGAACTCGAGGTGTCAAATATACCTCATGTATACAGGTGACATGGCCTAGGGCCAGCCAACAAAGCTGGAGTGGCTTGTCATTAAATGAAGAGGTCAGCAGCCTTTGAGAAATCAAGGTCTCACCCTCCAGCCCAAGCTCACCCACTCCAGCTCCACAGGTGGTTGAAGCACATTCCCTTCAGTGCCCTCACATCCATCCCACATGGGGATTTCACATCATTTGCACTTGTTTTAAAGCTGGGATTGAGTTTGGGAGAACACAATGCTTTGAACTCTCTCTGCCAGCCTAAACAGGCTGCTGATGAACCATGTCTTGTTCTTTTGCCAGGTGCTATGAAGAGCCCAGAGAATGAAGCTGAGACATCACAACCAGCAGTGACTTTCTAGGTTCTTTTTCTTTTTTTTCCTTTGTGGAAAGAGCGAGGGTGGATTTTATATATAAATTATTATGTCCTTTCTGATCAATACATATAGTGTCCTATATAGCTTCCCCACCTGGGGCCTAAGGGCTTTCTCCAGTTACAGCCTGCCATGCTCAGTGGTTGATATCTAACTCTATTTTTGAGATGCCTTCAAACACTCAGAATAAATCCAGCAGCAAGAAGCACCAAGGCACCACCTACTTCACTAATGGCCTTTACAGTCTGTGCCAGGCAGTCACGGGCTCGTTAATCAGCACAGCCCCATGTCAAGTCAAAGCTGCGTGTTAGGAAAGCCTGATCTGAAGACCTGAGGAGACTTAAATGGCCAAGTTCTAGGTCAAATCCCAGTATGATACTCCAAGCCCCTTATCCCTGGTGCCCTCATTGTCCCCACAGTGGTGGGGATGACCACACCCACCTGCCTCACAGGGTTGTTGTGAGGCTACATTAGTCTGTATAGCATTTGGAGAGCCGTGAATTAAAGGTGCTGCTGAAATACAATTTGCCGTCTTAAAGACTTTATTATTAATACCTGAGCTTCAGGCAGGCAGATCACTGCCTTCTCACGTGCTTAAACACTCATCTGAAGTGTGAGGAATGAAGTCTCTGCATAAACAGGGGTTTAGCTGAGTGTAAAACCCAGTGGCCACATGCAAAATGCTGAGCTACTTGAGCTCCTGGAGTCTGGCAGCGCGAGTGTGCTTGGGAGAGCCTCCGTCGTCTCCACCACTGCTTTCCCAGAGCTTCCTGATAGACCAGAAGAGCAGCATCCTCATCCAGCCAGAACCCCCAGCTCAGCACAGCCCCAGGAACCACCAGTGCACCCCCAAGGCTGCAGGGGTAAATACCCTTTTTCTGGAAGATTTCACTTTGAGGACATTAGAGCTTAATTAGATGTTTCGCTTAAGGAGACTTTCTGCCTAAGAAGAAACCCCTTTTTTCAAAGATAGTTGGATGTTTCTTTTCCTTCTGCATTCCAGAGAAAGCTACAGTCTTTCTCTCTGGTCTGAGGAGAAATAAACCCTCACAGTGTTATAGGCCTTTGCTTTGAGGAGGGCCTGGGGGAGGACAGAGAAGATAAGAGGCCTGGAAGGGAACAGGAGGCTTTCTCAGGCCCAGCACTTTTGCAGCTGCTGCAGGTTCTCTTTGGGAGTTTTTAGCATTCTCGACTTCAGAATAAACCTTTTGGATTCTTTCCACTGCCTTGGCATTTTTGGGGGTACCTGCATGTATCTTACCACACAAAGGCACCCCAAGGACAGCCCTTCATTGGGTTCCCCAGGGCAGTAGCTCCTGTTTGGAGCCTGCTGGTCACAGCCTGAGCTGGTTCAGCCCCAGCCATACTCACTCACCACCTTCAGCAAAATCCCCACACGAGGAGGGTGGGGATGTCCATCCCCAGCATCCACGTGAGAGAAATGATGCCCCATTGGGTATTTCTGGAGGTCTCAGCTGCCTCATTCAGCAGAGTAAGGTACTGAAGCACTAGCCCTGCACTACCTCTGCCCATCTTCACCGTGACTCCTGCTTGGAAGCTGCACCAGTTCCAGCAGCACAGACCTTGGGAGAACCTTGTCTGTGCAGCAGCAGCGCAGTGAAATACTGGCTCCCCTAACAGGAGCAACATCATCTATCAACCCTGAAGGTAAACTGTGACATTAGGGAAAAAAGGACCTAGCCAAGCACTCAGAAGGGGTATTGCTGCACACATTCCCCTGCACAGTTCAGTGAAACATTGTAATTGAGCCTGATTTAATGTAATAGGATGGATAAGAGATGTTTGCTGGCATGTGCAGTGTGGGAGGTAGCTGTGCTTTGCAGCTGGCAAGGAAGTTTTCAGCAAAATACATGCAACGTTTTCACAACTCATGCCAAGAGCCAACACATTTTCTACCTTTAACATCTGCACCAGGGAGTTTGATAAGTTGTTTTTTAATAAGTACAGCTTTTCTGGTAACATTCATGAAAATTAAAATGCCATCACTCACCCAGCCTCTGCCAGACTGGTGAATTTGCTTAAGCATGAAGTCCCAGGTGATTTCCAATTAGGTGAACCCAGAGCTCCAGATCCCAGAGACCTGTGGCTCCACGCATGGAACACCACAAGGAGGTTTTTGGTGAGTATCAAGTTTTAACACATCTCTGCAGACCCCTGAGATCCCATGGGATCTTGCCACTGCTCAAGTTTTCCTTCCTTTGACCTCCTTCTTTCCACAGACCCTTGAGAATCTTACACAGAGGGTGAGGCCCTGGCATGGGTTGCCCCGAGAAGCTGTGGCTGCCCCTGGATCCCTGGAAGTGTTCAAGGCCAGGTTAGACAGGGCTTGGAGCATCCTGGGCTAGAGGAAGGTGTCTCTGGCAGGTGGGATGAGGGGAAACCAGCAGCAGTATTAGCAATGATAAAGGCAGCTGGGAAATGTCTTCCTTGCCATGAGGGCCCAGAACTGGACACAGCCCTGGAGGGGCCTCAGCAGGGCCAGCACAGGGACAGTCACTGCCCTGGCCCTGCTGCCACACCATGGCTGGCACAGCCCAGGGGCCATTGGCCTCTTGCCCCCCTGGGCTCACCTGGGCTCATGTCCAGCCCCTGGCACCGGCACCCCCAGGGCCTTCTCTGCTGTTGGAGAGTCTCCAAAGGAGGGACATGAGGATGGTGAAGGGTCTGGAGAGACCACACAAGAGCAGCTGAGGGCACTTGGTGTGTTCAGCTGGAGCAGAGGAGACTGAGGGGAGACCTCACTGCAGTTCCAGCTGCCTGGGCAGGGGCAGAGGAGGGGCAGGGACTGAGCTCTGCTCTGGGGGGACCAGGGACAGCAGCCAGGGAATGGCTGGAGCTGTGTCAGGGCAGGGTCAGGTTGGATCTCAGGCAAAGGTTCTTCCCCCAGAGGCTGGTTGGGCACTGCCCAGGCTCCCCAGGGCAGTGGGCACAGCCCCAAGGCTGCCAGAGCTCCAGGAGGGTTTGGATGATCCTCTGGGGCACAGGGGGTGACTCTTGGGGCTGGGCCTGTGCAGGGCCAGGGGTTGGACTGGATGGTCCTTGTCAGTCCCTTCCAACTCGGGACATTCCATGATCCCATGACATCCCTAACGCTGCCATCCCGCTCTCAGCGCTGTCCCCGCCCAACACACGCCGTGCCCGGTCCCACACAGGGTCCCCCCGCCCCGGAGCCGCTCTGACGTCATCCCCCGCTCCCCTCAGAGCCGCTCATTACGTCACCGCCGCGCCATGACGTCACGCCGCCATTCCCGGCGGGGCCGCTCCCGGCAGCCCCCGCGCACAAGATGGCGGCGCGGGGCGGCGGGCGGTGAGCGGGGGCGCGGCCCCGGGCAGACATGACCTACACGGCCGAGCAGCTGGACGGGGTGCGGCGGTGAGCGGGGGCGGCGGGGAGCGGGGAGCGGGGCCGGGGGAGCGGGCCCCGGGGATAACCGTGTGTCGGCCGCCAGGATCAAGCGGTGCCGGGACTACTACGAGATCCTGGGCGTGAGCCGGGACGCCGGCGAGGAGGAGCTGAAGCGCGCGTACCGCCGGCTCGCCCTCAAGTTCCACCCCGACAAGAACCGCGCGCCCGGGGCCACCGAGGCCTTTAAAGGTGAGGGGGCTCCGTGAGGGGCCCGGGGGGCTCCGTGAGGGGCCGAGCGGCCGCATCTGCAGAGGCCGCGGGTGCCGCGGACACACCGGCGGCCACACAGAACCCCCTGCGGCTCGGCAGGGTTTGCGTTTTCCTCTGCAAAATACAGCATTTCTATCAGAAACAGAGGGAAATGTACCTCAGGTCTCATTCCGAGAACTTCTGAGGGATTTTGCAGTGGCACGAGGTGACAGGCCAAGGAGGAATGGGTTCACACTGACAGTGGGGTTAGATGGGGTATTGGGAAGAAATCCTTCCCTGTGAGGGTGGGGAGGTCCTGGCACAGGTTGCCCAGAGAAGCTGTGGCTGCCCCTGGATCCCTGGAAGTGTCCAAGGCCAGGTTGGACGGGGCTTGGAGCAACCTGGGCTGGTGGAAGGTGTCCCTGCCCATGGCAGGTGGTGGGATGAGATGAGCTTTCAGGTCCTTTCCAACCCAAACCATTCCAGGATTCTGTGAAGGGTTCAGAACAAGGCTTGGAACTAACACTGGGCATGCAGGAGAATGGGGTGTTGTGTAATCAAAAACTGCTCCTTGTCAATAAGTTTATATGTATATCTATGTGAGCATATAAAATTTAATCCAATATACTGTGTCTGGACTTCTCAGAAAAATTTCAGTTCTGTACTGACACTATTGCCATCTAAACTCTTACATCCTTTGCCCTTGTGTTGCAGCACAGCACGAGGAAAGCAAGTGATTCATTCATAGTCTGTTAAGGAGCTTCTGAAGGGCTTTTCTTTGTTTGTTTGTGTTTGGGTTGTAGTTCTCAATGAACTTGTTCTGTCAGAGATCAAAGAGGAAGATGAACCAAACAAATACTTCTGGGTGGTTGGGTGTGAAGTGTGAAGTAGATGTGCTGCACAGCTTCAGGAGCACCTCTGCCAGCAGGAAAAACTTGGAATATCGCTCTGCATTTTAATTAGTCTCTCCAGTTATTAACTTTGTGTTGACTGTGTGTGGTATATGGAGGTGCACTTCTATAGCAGGGCTTGGTTTGAGCTGAGAAAATGTTGCATTCTCACCCACTTTCTTGGCTGAAGTGGAGACTCACCTCGGTTTCATGAATATTTCAGGTCTCTCCATATACTTTAGCACTTTCTCTTGGCATCAGGGGCAGCAGGAAGTTTCCGTCACAGGTAATTCCAGTGCTGTTCTTTCAGAAGTGACTCAATCTTTGGTCAAGCATGACTTTTCTATGCTTGTTTGTTGGGTTTTTTTTGCTGCACTGCTTATAGAAGTCAGAGCTCTGGAAATGTTGATTAAAATGCTTGTTTTAATTCCCTCTCCAGCAATAGGCAATGCTTTTGCAGTTCTGAGCAACCCTGAGAAGCGACTGCGATACGATGAACTGGGGAGCGACCAAGAGCACGTCAGCACTGGCCAGGCCAGGCACTACAATTACTACACAGAGTTTGAAGCAGACATTACACCAGAAGAAATATTCAATGTGTTTTTTGGTGGGCATTTTCCTACAGGTCAGTGGTTTTGAAGTGCAGTGGGCTGACACTAAACCCGAGGGAACGGCTGGAGCTGTGTCAGGGCAGGCTCAGGTTGGATCTCAGGAGAAGGTTCTTCCCCCAGAGGCTGGTTGGACACTGCCCAGGCTCCCCAGGGCAGTGGGCACAGCCCCAAGGCTGCCAGAGCTCCAGGAGGGTTTGGCTGATCCTCTGGGGCACAGGGGGTGACTCTTGGGGCTGGGCCTGTGCAGGGCCAGAGGTTGGACTGGATGATCCTTGTGGATCCTTTCCAACTTGGGATATTTTGTGATTCTGTAAACCATAAAGGAAGGCCAGCTTCCCTTGGGGACTGCTCATGGAATTGATTATACATTTGAAAAGAGCAGAAACCTTTCTGGAATTGTTTTCTGCCTTTCTTTTATTCCCTCCATCATCTGAAGCCAGCAGTGGTATGGGAGATAAAATAAGGTGTGAATGGGAAGGGATCAGAAGTGTCTTAGGTAATGGCAGGACTCAGTCACCTCAGAGGTCTTTTCCAACCTTAACCATTCCATGATTGGGTTGTACTTGAGGCACCTTCCAGCATTCCAGGCAGGCATGGCACAGCTGCTGGAGTTGTGATCTCAGTGCCTTTCTAAGCAGGGAAGCTCCTGTGCCTTCCTGGCACGTTCCTGTGTGCTGGAATGAAATTCAAGCCTGGGAGCTCAGCAAGTGCTCCCTGCCAGGATAGACTGTCCATGGATATGCAGGATCCAGTGGATATGCAGGATCCAGTAACACAGCAGTGGAGCTGCACCTGTAGTAGCTCCGGGCATGTCTCAGTCCAGCCTTGGCTTTTGTATTTGTAGGAAAAATAGAAAGATACCACAAGATCTGTGGATTAAAAGTAAATCTGAAAGGTGTGGTGAGCTCGAGGGTGTTCCTGGCAGCATCTAAGGAATTGCTTTAGCATTCCTGTAAACTTTTCCCCTCCCAGGCGTCACATAAAGTGACATACACACCACTTACTACAGCCTGAAGCCACAGACACAGGTAGTTATTTACAAGCTCCCCATAACCTTAGTGTGAGTGGTGCATCTTGCTGCCAAGGGACCTCAGGTTGTTCCCAAATTTGCATCAGTAAATGTGCAAAGTGAGCCAACCCCAGCATGGTGTAATTCCATCCAGAGTCTGCAAGTTTTCCATTCCTGGCTGTGCAAGGAATTGCACCTGTGTGTGCCTTTTGTGGAACATTGCCCTCGTGGAATGGGACTGCTTGGTAACGTGGGGGACAGGGATGCTTGGAACTGAGGACAGGAAACTGAGGAGCTGCAGGAGGAATTTGGGTACTGGGCATGGCAGGTTTGTCAGGGAGAGTGGCACAAAGGAGAAAATGGGAATTTTGAGCCAAACGGCAAAGAATAAGGAAAGAAACAGGTATTTCATAGTAGTTGGTGTTGGTAGTAAACAATGGTTTCCTCACCAAAAAAGTGTCTGGATGTAAATTTATGTACATTTTCCTAATGTAAAAGTAAGTTTTAAGTTATGGAAAATTACCAGTTTAGCAATTTTCCAAATAGGGAAAGTCCTCACAGATTCTATTTAGCAAGAGAATTGCTAGTAGGAGGTAGTTGATACAAAGAGAACATTTTTTTAAACCGTTGTAGCACTAAGTAGGACTTGCCTGAGCTGAAGTTTGTGCTGGTGTTTGTTTTGTGACACTTTGCTGTCACCAGGCTCTCTGGAAATCCAAATTAGAGGTGTTGGTGTCAACTCATTTGTATGGCATTTGTGGGCAGGTTTGTGGCTTTGGTTTTACTGTGCAGTTTTCCTCTGTGGATATTCAGTGGAAAAATATTAAAAGTTAAAATGTTAACTGTGATAAAACTCAAGGGAGACTCCACATGGCACAGTTCTAATGGGGAGAGGCTACAACTTGAATGTCCTTCTCATGAAAAATAAATGCACATGGAAGGAAAGAAACTCCTGGCAGAAATTCTTGGAGAAACTTGGAATTTGGGATAAGTCTTCTCTAGGCACCCTGTAAAAGCCATTCTTCTATTCCAAAACTTGCTTCTTTTTTCATAGCTTGATAAAATACTGTCTTTTTACCAAAAAGAAACTTTCCTCCTTGGAGACAGCCTGGCTTGGAGCTCTGATGGCACACATGCCTTGGAAAAATCCTTGAGCAAGCAATGGAACAGAGGTTTAACACAACAGCAAAGGTCACCTTCGCCCAGGTTTCTTGCAGAATTCTTTGGGAAGCTCAAAAAAGGACAGTGGAAGAGTATAAAATAATGTGACATCTTTCCCAGGGCTTAAAAATAGATTTGCATTTCTGTTGTGATGATAAGAAATAGATTTCCAATTCTCTAACACAAAGACATGCTGGATTTCAAAGGAGGAGAGCAAAGCTATTATTAAGATATTCATATGGTGATAAAATCAGAGTTAGAGCTTCAAATCGAAGCAGCAGATACAATTCTTTCCTCATTTTAGAATTTTTAAAAATAAATCAACTGCATTCCACGTGCAAGAAAGGAAATCCTGAATTGTTCTCCTTTTTTCACTCGAAAAGCTATTTTTTTAAAATCTCTCTCCTTATGATAAAATAATTAAGTGAAACCATTAATGGCTTGAAGGCAGAGGAAATAGAAATGAGTAGAAAAGCACATTCAGTAATTATGGGAGGCTGTAATTCATGGCCTGAGCCTGGAGAAGCGAATTCATTTTCCTGCCACAGCCTTGCAAGTGAATGTGACAAAACCAGCATTAAAATATGAGATACAATCATAAAAATCAGAACATGTCTCTGCAGTTTGATTTAAATTAAGATGGACTTGGGGCACACTTTACAATTTCTCTGGTAGGCTTTTTGGATTGACATGTTGTTTTGTCATTTCAGTCAGAGGTTGGCTGTGCTTTTTGGTGTGAGGGCTCACAAATGTAATCAGGCTGTGTAGTATCAACCTGGATAATTAAACAGAAACTGAGGAGTACAGGTGAGTGCCATGAAACATGACTTTTCTCTTACAGGAAATATCCACATGTTCTCAAATGTAGCCAGAGATGCACATTATTACCCACGGAGGCACCGGACTGAGAGGGCATGGACACAGGAGCAGGAGGAGGAAGACAACAGGCCACAGGTAGCCAGGAGGAGGGATCTCCTGGGCTTAAATATCTCACCAGGGTGAGGGAGACCTGAAGCCAGGACACACCTTCCCATGCTTGAGTGCTCAGTGTTTATTCTCAAGCACTGCACCCACAGGGGATGTTTTTTACGTGACTGGATTGGCTTTTATTAATCACTGCTTTAAAAATACTTCGTATTTATAGGATTACGTGCCTTCCAGTTTCTGTCATCCAGGGGTTTGCTGCTGCTTCTTTTTTCAAGCTCTGATGTTTGGTAATCCAACAACAATTAGTCCAAATGGGGCCTGGTAATGGGTGTGGAAGCACTGGCTTTTGCTCTTTGTCCTCAAGGTGTATTTAAGCCTTCAGTAAATGAGCACCCAGGTGCTGCACAAGCCTCTTCCAGCCCGGGGCAGGATGGCTCTGGGATACATTTCTGCCAACTGAGACCTCCAGGTGAGACAGGGTGTCTTGTTGCCAGTGCACATACACATGTGCCACCTGCCTTGGCAGAATCTCCCTCTGGAGACCATCTGTTAACCTCAGGGAATCATTCTCCAAGGAAGATGAGTTTTGCCTTGTGAGTCTCTTAGCCTCTGAAAAAAGAAACGGATACAGCTGACAGCAAACAGGGCAGATGAATCCCACCTACATCAGGAATCCTTGTTGCTATCCCAGGGCAGAGGGCAAAGCCTGAATAGCTGCATGCTTTATTTTCCTTCTCCTAGCATTTTATAAGCCGGCTTAGAAAGAAATCAAAAAGCAGGAGGAAAGATCTGTGTTTTCCCTTTGATACTTTTCCACTCTGTTGTTGCATTTGCATCCTGTCCCAAGTTACAGCACATGTGGCCTCTTAACTGTTTACTGCTCAGCCATTAAATCCAGTGCTTGAACAGAGGTTGAGATCTTTAGAATGGGTGTAGCAACCTTCAGAGAGTGCCTGGAAAGCTGTAGAACATGGGAATTGCAGTGTGTTCCTGCAGGTTGGATTGTCAGCTGGGCACTGACAGTGCTGTGGGTGTCTATTGCCTTGTGAAGGAAGGGGTAGAGGAGAAGATAATTGAAAGAAAATGGTTGTCAAGAGATGTCTGAGATTATTAATAAAGGTTATTTTGAAATTACAGTGTCATCCCTCTCGAAATCCCAAAGTACTTCCTCTTTTGTTCAGTTTACATGTAATACATTGTTGATCTGTGATAGATAGCCTGGTTTCTGTGAACAGATGCCTCTTTTTCCGTCTCTATCTTCCCTTGGCTACTAATTCTTGTTCTTTTCAGAATTCCTATTCTGCATTTATCCAGTTGATGCCAGTTTTCATCATCATAGTAGTGTCAGTGATAACCCAGCTGATGGCCACCAACCCTCCCTACAGTTTATTCTACAAGTCGTAAGTGCTTTAAAAACACGTTTTTCTGTTCTTGCTGTGTGCAATAGGGAGGCAGAAGGAAGTTGGATTTGATAGCAGAATTCATGTTAATGTTCTGCTCTTTCCAGCAACTGTTATCAGTTCATAAATAGGGAAATACCAACAGTCTGCCCTGACGAGTTCCCCTGAGCTGTGAAGTTACCTGTGGTGAGCTTTATTGCTGAACAGAGAGAGGCACCAGACCAGAGACCTTCCTCAGCTGGTGTGAAATGGTTTTGCACTGTGATACAGGAGGATAAATGTGGGTGTAGATCAGCCTCTGGTCTGCCCAGCTCCTGGAATCTGTGGGCTACCACTGAGGTTCCTCTGGAAAGCAGTTAAATAATGAAGCCTGTGGTGTGCAGTATGAATCCAAATCTGCTCTGGAGCATGAATTCCACTGGAAGCTCCACAAATCATTAAAGTCTTGAAATGCCCTGGTTTAATTTCTGTAGAGGAGCAGGACCCTGGGGAGCTGGTCAGCTCTGGAGGCAGAAGGACCACCACCAGAGCTGCTGTAATTTGAGTTTGTGAGGCAGAGGAAAAAACAGTGCTGGGAGGAAGGAATCTCTCTAGTGGGAAAGAGCTCACCTTCACTGGCTCTTACTGAGCCAGAAGTAGGATTGGCAGGTTTTGGGGAACCAGCAGAGAGCTCCAAACAGACCCCTTGTTCCCTTCTAGGAGTAAAACTCAGGTCCAGGTCTGTCCCCTCCCTCTGCTGTCAGAGTAGCCCAGCACCCCTCATCATTTTGCCACAAGATGTCAGTGTGAGGCCCTCGCAGAAGAGCAGGAGGGTGGTTGGTTTTTGGTGTTTTTTTTTTTTTTTCCAGGGAGTGTTTTTGCTATCTGCCAGTCCCATGTGGAACCTCCCACGCTGCCCCCACAGCAGCTGATCTCTCCTGCTTTTCTTTACTGCCTCCCCTTCTCCTGCTGGTGTGAGATAGTCAGACCTGAGCCTGGCACACGGTTAGGTCATTTCTCTAAATCATAACCTTAAAAAACAGCTTAAAAACTAGAAGCAATTGTTTCTTTAAAGAGAGTGGACACCTCTGAGACAGTGAGAGAGTCCAGGAAGAAGGGGCAAACAGGATTCCATTGAGTAGAGTGTAACCTTTGTGTTTTGGCTGCCTGCCTCTGTCTGTGGGCAGTGATTTGAGCAAATGCCTGGGTATCTTTGCTCAAATAAGGAAATTCGGTCTAAGAATGGAGTTTGATCCAGTGGCTGTGTCAGAGGGGCTAATCCTTCCCCACTTTGCTTACTGATGATTATAAAACCCTGAAGAAAAGTGTAATTAGAATCTCCCCTGCTAATTTTTAGTTCTACTAAAGGATCCAGAAAACTGGAAAATCCAGATCCAATTGCATTGTGCCCCAAGTCTTTATAATCTCTACCTTAGTTATCAATCCCCATGGATTTCTGGACTGAGTTTGCCAGGAATCCCCAGCAAGCAGAAGGAAGTGTCTGGAGAGTTCACAGTTAAAATTTGCTCTGACATTTTGGAAGTGTCTTGAGCGAGCTGTTGGGAACAAACACAGTATTCAGAAGGAGCAGTGTCAGTTCTTTGTAGGTATTTCCAAACATCAGATATTTTCCTGTGGTTTTGGCAGGGGGTGGATTCTGTTTGTCAGGCACAGCTTGCTGTGCCCGAGACTTGTAATTTCCTTACTGGATGGTTGAGGGAGCCATAATCCTGCAGAAATTAACTGTAAAAACATGGCTCTAAATACTGTCCTCTGGAAATGCCAGTGTGGAGAAACAGCTCTTGATTTCTTTAGGGTTGAACTGCTCAAACATCTGGTTTCTCTGTGTGTCCACAGGTCCATCGGCCACGTCATTATCAGAGAAACAGAGAACTTGCAGGTGCCTTACTATGTCGATAGGAACTTCGAGAAGAATTATCAAGGAGCAGAACTCCAAGAGCTTGAGAAGACAGTTGAAAAGGATTACATAGACTATATTCAGACCAGCTGCTGGAAGGAGAAACAGCAAAGTAAGTTCTTTCTGTCCCAGGTGTGTGCCCAGGACCCGCCGGGGGCTGGGCGGTGGCTGCGCCTCGCAAAGTGCTGCTGGTTTTAGCCTCAGTTTGCAAAGCTCACAACATCTCAACCTTGCCCTGCTTTGAGGTGTCTCACATCTGCTCTTAACACTGAAATTGGCTTTTCTTGAGATCTGTCAAAATACATTTTAAGTGATGAGTGGAAAGTAGATTTCACCATTTGAGATGGTTTTTTCCACTCGGTTTTTATGCTCGAATAACCTTTAGTGATGATGTTTTCAACACAGAACCCACCACGGTTATCTAGCCCTGACAAATGGTTAGGCTAGAAAAGATCTTGAGACATCACCTATTCCATGTTTCCTTTGCTGGAGCAGACTGGTTCCAGGAGAAGTTTCTCTGACTTTTCCCTTAAAACTTCCCCAGGAGAGCCTGTAGCCTGTCCAGGTGCTCTTGGCTCTCTTGAGTGGGCTGTGTTCCTGGTATCAGTTTCCAGAGCTGTGCTTCCGTGCTCAGTTTGTGTGTTATTTGCATTTTCTATCTTTAGATGAGTTTGAGATCATGTTTTTCACCACAGTCAAGTCTTTTAAAAACAAGAATTGAGTGCAGGAAGGGAGAACACAGATGTGAGCATTCAAACTCGTTATTCTCAGTCAGCCATGAGTCACTCAGTGATGTGAATAAAGGCATGTGAACCCCATATTTTAAGACATTTTACCCACATATTGCATTACCTACCTATTAATTACTACTAATCTGGTTCATTGAAAACAGAGCAAATGCCTGCTTCTTTGGCAAGTAACAAAAATAAAATTACAAGGAGTAGCTGATGTTGGGATGTTGTGACAGATTTTTTTTTCAGCTAAAGAACTCATCACCTTTAAATGAGTAAACACAAAGTGCTGCTGTGTATAAAGGAAACTGGAACAAGTTGTGTCTGTGAGAATGTTCAACAGCAAACTGCTTTCACACACTGGTGGGGCTTTCTAAATTGCTCTGTGTGAAACAGTCCTCAGCACACTGCTATAAAGTGCCTTTGCACTTGTTTTCAGTTTCTTTACCAGTTGCATCATTATGGAAACACAGTTTGTCCAAACAAGACTTGTTTAACCCTAGAGAAGCGGTAACAACAGTGTTGCTGACTCCAAACTCTTTACAGGTTTTTCATGGGAAGGCTTGTTTTGGTTTAAAGCTTAAAAGTTACCAATCCTGCTTTAAAGAGAAATAAGCAGACATAGGTTCTGAAGTTAAAAAGGAAAAGAACCCATAACATAAGACCACAAAAATCCTGAAGTTTTTAGTGTGCTTGACTTGTGACCTTCAAGCATCTGTGGCTGGCAGGAGCAGCCTCTGAGTGTAATTTGGCTGTTAATACTCATAAATGTAGGCTTGCACAAAAATCCTTTTAATTGATCTTGTGCAACTGAAAGTTGTCTCTTTCATGTAGACCTGGAGCTAAGGAGAACCAAGCCCCAAAATAAGGACAGGGTTTGAGAGTCTAAGGGAGACCAGTTGTCAGAGAGGGGGAGATGATCCAGCAGGGAATGCCAAATGCCTGCCAAGCCCTGCTCCTCCTGAGCTCTGTACACTTAGAGATTGTATTAGTCACCCATCTGCAAATACATTTACAGTGTCCACAATTAGCAGTAGCCTGAGGACACCACTGTGATTCAAACTAAGCATTTTCAGAGTGATTCCATCCAGGCCAGTGAGCAGGTAAGGGGCACAGCTGAGGTTGGGCTCACTTTGCAAAAATAAACTGTGAATACGGTGTGGAGTGCTGGAGAAAAGCTCTGGAGATGTTGAGGCAGTTCTTAGTCAGCTGTTGCTCCACAGCATTGGTCTCTTAATCCTTGTTGAAGTGTTTGACTTAGTGTGCTCAGCTTTTTGTCAGTTGAATGCCTATTAATAGTACATTTGTTGTGTTTACTGAGGGTGCATTTCTCTTTAGCACCAGCAAAATGGACAGAGATGAGTTAATCAGGAACAGTTTGGTTTTAAAGTCCTTGATTTTATGACTTGGAAAGTGCTACCTGGTGTTCAACAACCTGAAGGAAAATTTTAAAAGTAACAGGTTGGTATCTTGTTCAGCCAGTTGCTTTTATAGTGCTGCACCAAACAGGACTCCCCTTCTCAGCAGAGCAGTGTGTGAAAGTTGTGTGTGCTCTGGGTTTGGGTCTTCTGAAACCTCTGGCACAATTAAGTACAAAAAGCAGATCCCAGGTTTTTACAGGAATGTTTCAGCTGGATAGCACAGTTGTAAAGTGAGGCTCCAAAGAGCTCCAGGTCACAAAGAGGCAACTGAAAACAGAGAGAATCAGGATATGTGTCATAGAATCATGATGGTTTGGCTTGGAAGGCACCTTAAAGCTTATCCAGTTCTACCCCTGCCATGGCAGGGACACCTTCCACTGTCCCAGGTTGCTCCAAGCCCCGTCCAACCTGGCCTTGGACACTTCCAGGGATCCAGGGGCAGCCACAGCTTCTCTGGGCAACCTGTGCCAGGGCCTCCCCACCCTCCCAGGGAAGAATTTCTTCCCAATATCCAGTCTAAACGTAACAAATTCAGTATTTTAGGGTGTCCTTAAAGAGAAAAGTTCAAAGGAACAACTCTGTAGAAGATTGAAACCCACAAGGAGCAGATGTGATGGAATAAACCCTGTCAAAAGCACAGGGAATAATTTTTCCCAGTTGGATAAGTGGAAACTGAGATTCTCCACTGCACAATTCCAGGGACTCTGGACTCAGAGACAATTACCCAAGTCTGGTTTTGCTGGAGGCTTGTCAAGGCTGTGTGCCCAGCACTGCCTGAGTGGCATTTGGGTTATAAACCTGCCAATGGGTTCCTGCTCTAAAATGAACTGTTCATGCCTGGCAGTTTGGGAAGCTTTTCAGTAAGTGGGTGGAGGGTTAAATGGCTTTAAATTTCAGTGGGGCAGGGACACAGGACGTAAGGCATGAAAGGACCTATTGAAGTTCTTTCCACTCTGAATAATTTTGTGAAATGAGGGGCTTGTGAGGTGTATAAAAGCTCTTTGAAAAATTGAGTGTCATCAGGTAGCCTGTGCTTACGGAAAGGTTGACCTTTTCAGAAGTAAATTACTGCTTTTCTCCTCAGTGCATCTAATCCTGCAGCTAAATTATTCTTCAGGGAGAAAGCTATATTAAGACTTCCTCAGCTAATCAGCAAAAGAAACTTCTCTGAATTACTGGGGGGAAATAATTTAAACAATGGGATTATTTCAGTTTTATGTTGCTTTTGAGAAGAAGGGGAACAAATATGCAAAGTACATTTGAGATTGTTAATGAAAGGGCACAGAGGCCTTTCAGACAAGTCCCTCGGGTAACTCTTCACCTCCCTGGATTCAATACTCAGCAAAATTAGAATTAACAAGTGCCACAAGGATAACAAAGCACTGAGAAACAGTTCTTTAAGGAGGCTTACGGCTTCATCCTAATACATCTTTTTTTTTTTTTTTCATCTTTCAGAGTCTGACTTGTCCAATTTGGCCAAGCTCTACAGAGATGAGAGGTTAAAACAGAAAGCAGAATCCCTGAAACTTGAGCACTGTGAGAAGCTCTCCAGTCTGATTGGGATGCACAAAGGGGGCTGAGCAGACTGCACACGTTCCATAGTTTTATTTATTGCTGTTTTAAGTTATGTTTTTATTTTCCTTCATATAAAAAGGGAAGGAGTCTATTGTAAGGAGTGGATATTGGAATCCTTCTGCATGTAGTGCAGAGAAGGGCCAGCACGAGCTGCAGAGCTGCTGTTTGCTGTAATATATCCTGTACATTAGATTCGGTTCCAAGGACCAGTGGCACTTTGTACATTCATTCCAGGGAGATTCTCTTAGTTTGGAGCCCCTCTGAATCCAAACAGTGTGTGCTTCCCAGGACAGCACGCACATGCCTTGGCTTTCCATGTTTTCCGTGGAGCTGCAGTGCAGTGGATCCCATGGACAGTGTTGTGCTCAGTGCTGGGTGTCAGCTCCCCTTCCCATTGCAGCACCCAGGCTGTCCCTGCCTCCACAGTGCTGTGAAGGAATGTTGGGCTGATTCCAGTGTCCTGTGCAGTGCTGAGGGCAGGAGGGACAGGTACCTGCCCCAGGTGAGCTCCTGAGCACACTCCCAGCCCTCCCTCTGTCCAAGGGACTGTACCCTGTGCTGCTCCATGGGAGGGCCGTGCCCATCCTGCTCCGTGTGACACCAACACGACCAAGAAGATGGGAGTGTGAACTGCACCAATTCCAGTGGCTGCAAAACTGTAAGGAGAGGACAACCATGTTGATTTTCTCATCTGTTTTCAGTGGCATATTTTGAAGCTGGCTGTTACATTCTGACTTGGATCTGCACACTCTTCTCCAGCTGCTCCAGGGGCCCTGCTTTTCCCGGTACAGTTCTCATGTAGCATATTTTTACTCTGCTGAGCAGTTATGAATGTGTCACTGTAGCCATCAGTACTGCAAAGAAAAAGACCCATGTGGTAGTGTCCTGTTTTTCCTTGATCCTCCTTTCCAAAGTCAGGCCTTGAGGAGCAGTTTGAGGCTGGTTGTACCTGTGAGCAGCAGAGACCAGTGTTACTGCAGCTGAGCACCAGTTTCTCTGGTGGGTACCACGGGTGTGTGCCAGGCATGGAATGACCTGTTCTTCCAGGGTGGGGGGCTTGGGGCAGCTACAGCACAGCACTGCTCCCCTCTGACCTTGGGAATAGGTGTCAGTGAGATCTGAGCAATGCTCTGCTGTGGCCCCATTCCTAAAACCTGCTGCAGGATGCACAGGTGGCCTTGCCTGAAACCTAGGGAGCAAAGTGCTCCAAAGTTTGGGAAATGCCAGGATTAAACCTGCCTTTGAAGCTTAGACTTCAGGTGTCCATGTGCCTGGTGGAGCAGTGTTGTCCAGGTGCTCTGCCGAGGGGCCCTGTGGGCTGGAACTGGCACTGTGGGTACCACAAAGTGTCCCTGTCCTGTTCACACAGCAGGGGGAGGTTGGGCAGCAAACAAATTGGGAGGAAAAGAAGCTTTTCTGGGGTGTGCACTGGAATTTGGGGGTTGTATCAGGGATTTGAGGCTTGGTGCTCCTGCACATGAGCCAGGCACATTCCAGATGTGATGAGAACATTCCAAGTACAGCAATGGTGCTGCTGTGGGGTGGTGGTGTGTCAAAAAATTAGCATTAACATTTGTGTCTCGTTTGCAGGAAACCTTATAGGAGCAGGTGGGAAAGTTGAGCAGAGTTTGTTGGGCACCTGGGATGGGAAGAGCACCAGTGTGCACCAGTGGGCATTTTGAGTGGTTGGTGCCAGTCTGCAAAGGTTCATTATTCCAGGATGGTGGCTGGCTTGGTTATTAAGGGTTGATTATTCCAGGATGGGGGCTGGCAGAGCAGGCAGTCTTAGTTCTGGTATTTCCCACCTTTGAGCACGAGTGTGTACAGAAAGCAAAATTAATGTTGCTTTTTATCTACTAAATAGCTTGTAGAATATATTAGACGTCTGTTCAAGTGATTGGACCTGGTTCTAGGGTTGGTATCTTCCCTGTCCTTCCTGTGGGAGTCCCAGAGCTGTATAGGGATGCAGGTGGGGAGACCAAAGCCAGTGACTTCTCTGGACCTGCTGTGTCCTGCATGGAGCTTGAACTTATACACAGCATTTTGCACTGGAACCAGATCACACCTCTCCATCTGAAGATCTCCAAGGACTTGATGGCGGTGGGGACCTCCTGTGGGAAGCACAGTCATACAGAGTCTTCTCTGGAACTGGGAAGGGGGCTGGGATGGAGCAGGAGGTGAGACTGGGAGGTAAAAACATTTCCCAAAGCAATAAGTGTTCTTTGTTTATACTGGGGGGTGTCAGGTGCTGGTGTGTGCTGGGAGGGGGTGTGTGGCTCGGGGTGTCTGGTGACAAACAGGACAAGCTGTGTTGGTACAGCACGGGCATCCTGCTCCATAGGGAAAAGGAGAGTCCTCTCTGGAGCCCGTGGGCTGGAAATGTATCCCTGCCCTTCTCCAAAGGGTGCTGGGGCTCCTTGTTTCTGGGTCAGAATAAGAGAGGGAAGGGTGTTCCTGAGCAGGAGGGTGGCTCGGAGCGGGGGGTGCCCCTGTTCCCTGGGAACACCGAGCACTGGGAAACGGGTCTGTGTGTGTGGATGTGTTTGGGGTTTTTAAATTAAAGACGTGACACATCTCCGTGCCTGTACGTGCCGTGGTGTGGAAGGAGGGGCGGTGGGAGTGTGCCAGGCGGGATGGCGGGGTGGGCCCGGCGCTGGGGGAGCGGGCCCGGCCCCGCCATTTGGCGCAGGGTGCGGGACGTGGCGACGGGCGGGCAGGGCTGGGGCTGCCGCGGGCGAGCCCGGGACAGGGACGGGATCGGGATCGGGATCGGGACCGGCCCCGTTCCTGTCCCAGCACCGGGAAGGGGCGGGGGGCGGGGCCGCGGTGGGGGCGGGGCTTGTCCAGACCTTGCCTTCCGGGGGCGGGGTCTGTTCAGGCCACGCCCCCTGGCCGGCCCACGGTGCTGGGGCCCTGCGGGAATGGGAATGGGAATGGGAGAGGGGTAGCGGGGCTGGGAGTGGGATAGGGGGCTGGGAACAGGACAGGGGGATGGGAGAGGAGCAGGAGTCTGGGAGTGGGGTTCGGGGCTGGAAATGGGGCTGGGAGTGGGGCAAGGAACTGGGAGCGGGGCAGTGGGAAGCAGGGCAGGGGGCTGGGAACTGGGTCTGGGAAGCAGGGCAGGAGGAACAGGGCCGGGCCCTGCCTGTCAAAGCCCTGTCCTGGTTGCAGGACCCTCCTGTCCTGCTGTTGCCCAGCCTGGGCCCGCGCTCCGGGCCGGGGCACTCTGGCACACAGCCCTGGTGCCTGCCCGGGCAGCACCCCCTGCCCTGCAGGGCAGCCCCGTGACATCCTCACACGGGGGGAGGTGAAAGGGTCCCTTGGAGCTGTTCATACCTGCCCCGGGCTCACACAGCAGCCCCGGGGTGTCGCAGTGCCCGAGCTCTGCCAGGGCTGCCGGCGTGTCCCGGGTGCCCAGATCCCAACTGAACTCCAGGGTTGGCTCTGAAAGCCAAGCTGGGCCAGTGTTTCCTGCTCTTCCGGAGTTGCAAAAAGTAGCTCCAGCGTGGGAGAAGCACGTCCTGCTTTGGGCAGCTCCCAGCAGCTTCCTCCTCCTCCTCGCTGCCTCTGTGCTGAGCGTGCCAGCGCTAAGGTGAGTGAGCACACACCGAGCTGGCACCAAATCCAGGTTAATAAGCAAATGCAGTGGTGAGCTGCAGGCAGGATCCCGCTGGCTTAAACATAAATCAGTGTTTAATTAGCAAGGCTGGCTCAGCCTGGTCCACCCGCTGTTCTGTAACATGTTTGTGCCCGAGGCTCCCACGCACACCCCGACCTGCTCTGGGTGCTGGAAGGTGCATCTGCAGCCTCTGACCCTAAACCTGTTGGACCCTGGTTGGCAAGAGGACCCCGGGGTCTCCATGCCCTCCTCTCTTTGCTGTTTGCAAATCAGGAGCCACACTGAGGGTGGGGAGGAATCCCAGGACCAGGAGGAGGAGATGCAGGTGCTGGAGTGTGACCCTTGCCCAGGAGTTCTCCAGCTGGGGCGGAGAGATGGGACTGCTCAGCCTGTTCCCACTGTGTTCCCACAGCACACCCAGACGGGTTGTTCAGGGCAGGATTGCGATCACCACCCTCACAGGGAAGAATTCCTTCCCAATATCCCATCTAACCCTGCCCTCTGGCAGTTTGAAGCCATTCCCCCTTGTCACTCCAGGCCCTTGTCCCAAGTCCCTCTCCAGCTCTGTTGGAGCCTCTTTAGGAACTGGAAGGGGCTCTCAGGTCTCCCCAGAGCCTTCCCTTCTCCAGGCTGAACAATCCCAACTCTCCCAGCCTTTCCTCCCAGCAGAGCTGCTCCATCCCTCTGA